CAAACATAAAAGTTATTATATTTCCGTGTCCTTTTTTTCATTTGGAATTTATATATTTTGCAAGTAATAAGAAAATTGTGTGTGATCACACATGAATTTTTTTTTTGTGACTACATAATGTACCATTTCATTTTCATATTCATTTTTTAATAAAGTTTCCGAAAAAGTTTTATCCCTTCATCTTTGTTGTTATTTCTCTTTTTTATGCTTTCCATAAAAAGAAATGTACATAAAATGTAAAAGGACATAAAGGGATCTTGTGAAAAGAATTATAGTTTCAGTTTTTTTTTTGTTTTTAATATGCGCATAAATAATATTTTTATTCAAGTTGTTTTTTTTGGAGAAAAAAGTGAGTTTGAAAAGTTATAAAAAATATTCAACTGGTTGTTTACGTTATTGTGGCATTGCCAACTTTGAAACTTCTTTAAGTTTTTGCTATGGCAATTCTTTTTTCATTTTTTACTATTATGCAGAAACTTTGTTATAAGGCCATAAATTAATCTTATTAAACCGGATCCAAATTAGGTGTAACTGGAACATTAACGAATTATGTAGTGCTATTATGAGGAGAAGAAGAGATATCTGACAATTATCCAAAACTTTTGGACCTTAATTACGATCTGACTTTACTCCGAAAATAATTTGCATAGTCCCCATTTTATAATCAATATAGTTTATGCATTTTCATTTTACTATTTGAGAAAAATGACATTTTTATTTCGAAACCTTCCATTAGCTTTCAGTTTTGCACACACTTAGGTATACTGCAAATACCGCAAATTAGGTATACTGGATATTTTCTGTTGCAGTTAGAGTAGTACAAACGTTCTTTTAGTATTTTTAAATTCTCATATACTCGGTATTATGGAAGAGTCACGAAACTGCTTTGTTTGTGTTTTGAGAAAAACGCATTTGAAAATATACACAATAATCTAATTTTGCAGTTATATTATTTTACAAAAGAAATTTTACAAAATTTACGTTTTTTTTCCGAAAATACGTTAGAGTTACGTGGGTTTTTATAAAGATAGTTTAGAAAATTCTGAATTTTTCTGTATATATAACTCAAAACTCCCAAAAAAGCAATTTTGTGACTCTTCCATGGTACCGACGATATGAAATTGCAGGTTTCGGTGTGAAATAAATTTGTTTGGCTCTAATTTACGATAGATGGCAATATTACAGTAAAAAATAACATTTCTTTTTTTTTTTAACAAACTTCTTATCTCTGAATAAAAAATAAAGGAAGCTAAAATGGGGTGTTGGTAAAATAGGGTAAAAGTTTTGTCTGTAATACGAATTGGTATAGAAAATTAGTTTTTATAACTTGTAGTTTTTCTTTTTTTATCACTCGTATAATATAACGATTATTTGATATTGCCTAACGAGTTTTAGTTTTTCTCCTTTATATGAAAGAAGAAACTTTTGTTCCATTTAGTTTGTTATTCTTTTTTTCACTTAAAAAATGTACGTATAAGAAAATTTACTTTCTTTGTGTTAGCTTGAGATGTTCAAAAGAATGAAATTTCCAATAATGTTTAAACATAAAATAAACGCGACATATAAAAATGTTAAAGTGCCCTTGAATATGTTTTCGAGATAATAGAAAATATTAAAGAATAAAATTTATCATATATAGCGTACATAGTGTAAATAGTCTTTCAAGTAAAGTAATGTGTTTTTCGACCATTAATAATAAACTGACGCTTTAAAATTTAATCAGATAACAGTAGATTTGTTGGAAATTTTAAACAGTGGCGAAAAGCTGTTGCCTTACCGATTAATGGTACAGTGGCTATCGTATCGTCGTTTAATTGAAGGGTATTCGGATTCAAGCCCTGGATAGGTCAATATAATAATTATATTTAACATTATATAGTTTAGTATACAACATTAAAAATAAAATGTTTAATTACTGATATATCCATACTATTCAACAAAAATCTACAATAAATATCAATAACTTTCCATATTTAATATAAGGAATATATTATGGCAGTTTGAGCATCGCTTAATAAACTCAATGATGTGTAAAAACAATGACTGATGCTTGATCTCTAAACTCAAGAGGAAGATCCTAAAGCTCCCAAGTGGAGTAAGGAAAGAAAAATCTTCCGACAATATCAAATTTAATATAAATAGTTCAACAAACCAAAACAAGTGTTAACTTGAACAGAGGGAGACTCGTATTAGTGAAATAATTTTCTTTAATAACCTCTGTTGCTACCTTAAGATTCTAGTTGAATCACACAATGTACTCGAAAGTCATTTTGGCATATCGAAAATTAAATAATAAAATTTTCCATTCATGAAGATCACTAATTTTCATAGTAATTTAATATAAGTTTGAATTTTTCATGAAAGCAAACAAGAATAATACAAAAGCAACTACTTACAGACATTTTAATTCTTTTGTAAATATAAAAATCCGCATATTTGTTAGTTTAAGGACCATTAAGCTAATCTTTTGACATATTATATACAAATATGTAAGTAGGTACCTACACAATATAAAAATTTGTATAATCACACTTTCATTACATAATATAAAAGTGTAATAGAAGTCTTATTAAGCTATTAAAAGCATAAAAATATAATTTTTTTGAAAATGTCAAATACATTGTGATAATTTTCATTATGCAAGAAACGCCTCTATAAAACCAAGAAAAAAAACACAACAAATATTATTTAAGTAATATGTACATACATATGTTATATGCAACTATGTACTGTAGGTACGTTGTACATATTTTTATTCGGTAATAAAATTTAGATGGCATTAAGTGAAATGAAGAGCAAAAATTCAAAAATTTTTGTATGCTGATCTTGTATAATATGCTCAGCATATGTACATATGTAAATATCTAAGTATATGATTGTATATGAATATGTAGAACATATTTAAATAAAATAAATTACTTTAGTTTTACGTGTTCACAAAAAAAAAATTTTTTTCAGTTGGATAAGAAAAATAAATTCTTGAATAACTTTTATGTATCTGCAGGCGTGCTTTCTTAGAAGGAACTTTAAAATATTCAGTTGTTCTTGGTGCAATACAACAAAAAAAAAAAAAGAAAAAACCTCATTTTTACTCGACATAATGAGATTTTTGTTTGTGTACTTTTGCATGTACACTTGAATTCATTTTATCTTTACTAAAATAAGCACAAAGTTCACTTTTCGCAGGATCATAAAATTTCATTTTTCTTAATATTAATTTTATGGTTATTTTTCTTGTTTTTGTTGCTTTTTTTTTCTGAAAGAAATTTTGACCTCGTTTCTCCTACATATAAGGAGCTACATATAGGTAGAATTATCTTTAAACTTACATACATATATAAATTGTGCGATAAGAATTTTTTCTTGAGTATTTTATTTTTTTCCTTTTTTCGTACTGAAATTCTATAAAAACTAGAGTTATTCTTTGTAAAATTTATGTATACATATATGTTTTGGGTATATAACTAAATTGATAATTTTCATTCGGGATTTGTATATACATATAAAGATATTATAAGAAAGCATAGTCTTCAAAGCACAATTTGAAAATATGTAACTTAACTAAAATTCAAAAACAAAGTGTGGGCAATATGTTGACTTTCATAATTTTACACACTTTATAAATATTTATTAATTAAGAAAAGATTTTTGCTATAAGAAACATATGTATGAAGTATCCACACAATACACGAAAAGGTGAGGTATCAAACGAACTCTGAAATTGAAATCACTTTTTGATATTTTTATTCAGCAAATTTCGGCAAATCATGATAGGTATATGTATACACACAAATTTGAACATCGATAGTAAGTTGTTTAGCATTTTTATTTTTGTTTTAGCGTAAAATTGTGTTTTCTAATGAAACTATGTAATTTTGTTCTTAGTCAGTTTGTTTGTTCTTAGTCAGGTGAAATAGACCACTTATGATCTATGGATAAAAATTCATAACAAAAATCAAAGGCTCCATCCCTCGCGCTTAAGTTTGCAATCGTTTTTCTACTTTATTTTCCTTGTTTTTTAAAATTTAGAAATAAATAGGAAAATAATTTTGTTTTTGAAAGTGAGACGTTCGGTCCATAATTCGAGAAAAAATGCAAAAATCCAATTAAAAAAATAAGTAATCTTATTGGGAAAATGAAATACCCATTAAAAAAACAGAAGAATTCTGATTTAAAAGTGAATTAAAAGTGAGTAAAAAAGCGAGATACGATTAGACTGTAAATATTATATGGTCAATTGAGAATGTTCCAGCATAAGGACTAGTGATTGCTCTCTTGAATATGTGAATGACATTAACACGGCTGAGATATGATTTCAGCATGACGGTGATGAATACTAAAATTCGGTATGTTTTTGTAAGTAGGAAATTGCTGAAAATTTTGTACATATGTACCTACTTATTATGTACGTGTCTTTTTTAGTAAAATACTAAAATCTTATGTGAAAAATTCTGAATTTGCATAATTTTTTTGAAACCGTATGAATACATGTATACACAATGTGTTACATGCATATACATACATACATAATGTACCCACATAAGATTTGCGGCTTTTTTGTTCTACTGTTTTAAAGATCTGTTTTTATTTTATTTTTGTAAACTTATGGTACTTTTGATTACAACCCTAAGCTTTTTTCCGTTTTACTGAAGCAATTAAATCCACTCGTTTTAGATGAGCAAAAAAATTTTGTATGACTTAATAAAACTCTGATTCATACGCACATCTGTACGTCCTATAGCTTTTATAAAGTATGTATGAATTGTTACATACAGATGTACATATATGTGTGTTTGCGATTTTAGTGCTGTAATTACTGTTATTTTTTAATTTAAGCTACAAAAGTTAAAATGAAAACATTTTTTTATTTGAATTCAACTTTAAATTTTGTAATATCGCAAAAGGCGAAAATGTTGCCTTTCATATTAAGTCAAAAATTCTTTAGGTTAGTTATTCTTTACAAGTTAGGTTAGTGGTGGTAAAGAATAAAAATTACTTACTTGAGACCTGTTGTAATTTCCATTGCCCCATTAAAATTTCCTATATTCCAACATGTTAAAGCCGCTCTTAAAAGACATGCAAAGGCTGCTTTTCGATCTTCATAAGTTTGTTGATTCGTTATCAAGTGGTAAACCCAACATACAACCTGCAATATTTAAAATATTAAATTAACATCTAATTAACATTTCATTCACAATATAAAGTTAAATTTTTAAAATTAAAATAGGGTGTTTTCATTAATTTTTTGTATTTATTGCGAAAAAGCTACATTTGTAATATGCTAGATAGCTACATTTAAATTTATAAGAACTTATTTCGATACTAAAAGTTATAAATTTTTATTCTTTAATAAATTTATATAAGTGTTTCTATTAGTATTATAAAGCGGATATTTTTATTTTTAACTTTTGAAGTACGATATGAGTATTTATTTTTTAGGTACTAGTTAGTACCTAAAAAATAAATACTCATTACCTAAAAAATAAAAAATAAATTTTTTAGGTTTAGGAAATGACTTTTGATCCATCGATTGTTTTGAAATTGTTTATCGGCGAATATTTGAATATGTGTCAACTTTCGAAACTGTCAATGTCAAAATTTAATAAAAAAAATAAAAATACTTAAAATACCTCCGCGCTAAAGTTGAAGTTGATTCAACTTTTTGAAAGAGAGAAAAAAACCTTAACTAAAAACAGAGTAAATGTCAAAAATCCAAATTTTCATATAAAATATGTCAGTTTATTGCTAAACTAATGAATCAATGAATCCCGCTTTAGTAAATTTTTCAGTTTTTCTATTGAAAGTTTTGACAACCATACTTAACCTTCTAAATCTTTACACAACATATTTAAGTTGAAAACAGAACAAGAGCGATTTTCAATGGCGAAATGTCAAAATTCATATAGAATACAGATATTTGAATGGGAGGGCCCAGAAACAAGTGAAATTACCACTGTGTGATATGATACGTCATCATTATAGTTTTGCTATGCTGCTGTTGGTTTATTATTGCCATGCTGCTGTCGTTCGGTTAACAACGGATATCGTCCGCCAGTTCAGCGCTTTGGTTTAATTTTTTCCAATATTATAATTTCAACCTTAGTATCATAATTCACAATAACAATCCTGTTGATGTAACTCAAAAATTTTTTAAATTTAAAAATTTAATTTTAAGAAAAAAGGCCAAACATTTTTTAAACTTGAAGTGCTAAGAATCTATGACATAATTTTTTATTTAGCTATATTTAAAGAATGACGTCTTAAAATTTATTTTATGCATTTTAAATATAATACTTTAACATCATTTGATTTGATGTGTTTATTATGTTAGTTGTACCACTAGTTGATTTTTAAATTTTGAAAAAACATTTGTTTGTAAAAAGAAGGTTTCCTTGGTTAAAAAATTGTGATGGTATTTTGATTTGTATATGTGTAATTAAATGGAAAAAAGTAAAAGCTTTTATATATGAGTACATATGAAAAATTTTTTTAGTTTTGAATATCATTTAGTTGACAGTTAATTTTAAATAAAAATATGTACAAATTTTTATTAATTTTGAATATTATTTTTATTTGACAGTTAATTTTAAATAGAAGTTGTACTAATTTGAAAAAAAATTTTCATCATATTTATAATAAACACAAGAGGCGCTACGTATTCACATTTTTAAATTGTTTGTGACTTTAAAAGTGTGACGCAACAATTTCATTTTCAATTTGCTTTAACGGACATTTTTATTAGAAGTACGAATTACAACACATCAGCATTAATTTTTTAGCGCTTAGGAATCAGCGTCAGCATCGGAAAGAAAAATGTGAATTTAATAAAAAATTTAAAATGTTAGATTTAATTTTAAAATGAAAGCAAGAAATAAGATTTAATATGTAAAGAAAATATTTTGGAAGAATGAATATGACGGTCCAATAAGAAGATATCAAAAAGAGTTATGGAAATATTGGCGTGGAGATTCTACATATGTATATTAAAACGAAGTTTAACAATCTAGTTTAATACACGATCATCCAAGAAAGAAGGAAATATGATGGAGGATTAAAAAGACAAAAAAGCATCAATCTTATGAATTTGTTGACCACTAGAATCTAAAAGCACTTCAGCAAGCAAGCAACGGACAGGATTATCTAACAAGGGAAAAAAATATGAAGAAGTGTTAAAAAGAAAAAAAAAACAAGCACCCATCTTTTTATAACTTGGTTCTAACGGGAATATAAATTAGCAATTTTTAGCAAATAAACTTTAAAGAGGATGATCCAGTAACATTAACTCAAATACATACACATTAGGTAAGAAGTTTTAAATTATTTTTATTGTAAATTAATAGGTTTAAGAGCTGAAATTTAAAGTCGTGAGATCGTTGTATTTTATCTGAATATAATTTGCCTTAAGCCTGAAAATATGAAATTACTTATACCTTAAAATCTGCTTAATTGCAACCAATATGAAAAATAACGGGATTTATATGTTATGTGGCTATTTTAGTGATTATTTAATTGAAAATTTGCGTTATAATAAAAGTTATTTTAATACAGTTTCCAAGTTGATTTAGTTTATAATGAAAATTTTGTTTTACATCTGAAATTTCTTAAGTAGGTTGTAAGAACATCCTCTTATTTACATTACTTATTTTTAAAGGATTAAATTTTACCTTTTTATTCACCCGAATTACATGATTCATAAAAATAATGAACTGGTTAAAAAATTTTACAAACAAAAAATTGAAAAAAAAGGATTAATCTTAAAGAAATTTAAGTAAATTTTAATAAGATTATTTTAGTTTAATAAAAGGATACATACCTTTGTCCCGAAAAGTTTTGAAATTTAAGGTTTATTATTTGAAAGAAAAGTAAATTAAAAAATATTTAATTAGAAAATTGATTTTATTAATTATTAAGTCTTCCGATATTGGTTTCTTTTTTATCTAATAAATGGATTGAATAACAAAGTAATTACAAGAAAAAAAAGGTCTTTTTTTGAAAATTCGTTATTTCCTTTTTAACTTTTAAGTTGTATAAGCACTTAAGTTGTATAAGACATTTGTGGTATAGCTCAATGGAAATTATTCTGTTATATCGTTATTTGAAGTCTTAAAAGAAGGATTTTTTCAAAATTCTATTTGAAAAAAATAACTTTTTAGCAAGCATCAATAAAACAAAACCATTTCCTTTTCGTAGTTTTTTTTATTGTGCGTTGAGGTTCAATAAAGTTTGTTACAAACGAAACAAATATTAATGAAAAGGGTTTAAATTCATTGAGATTAAATCAAAAAAATCTATATTTGATTTGTGAATTTAAAAGATGAAAGTTGATAATAATAACTTGAATACTTCTATTAATTAATCAATAGTTTAATACTATTAATAATGTTTCAATCTTCCAGAAGACTATCATCATAACAAGTGAACCTAATTTGATAATGTTTCTAATAATAATTTTTATTTTCGTCTGCAGCACAAACAATTTTGAAGTCAATTTTGATTATTTTAACGGACTCACCGTTTGATCACTACTGCATAATTTAAAAAATATAACTGAGGTCTGTAATATTAAAATCTTTAAGAATTTCAAATTTTATGCAAATTTATAAGAATTATAAATATATGTATATCCTATATACCCCGCATAATCTCATTTGTTCTCGTTAATTTGTTTCCTTCATTCTTACTATTATGTTGTCAGTTAAAAAAAAATTGAGATTTTGTTTTAATACACAAAAATAAAAAAAAAATAAATTTTAATTTAGATTTTGATTTGAGATTTTGTTTGGAAATGAAAAATGTAGAAAACAAGAAGAATAATGGTTGAATAAAGTAATTTTCTTATATGCTCTTAATGTTATTATAAGCGCCTTTTTGATTGCTATTTAGATTACCACTATGATTGCTGCTATGATTCCCACTATTATTGCTACTATGAGAGCTAATATGATTGTTACTATGATTGCTACTATGATTGCCACTATGATTGCCACTATGATTGCCACTATGATTACCGCTTTGATTAGTATTTGTTATATATATTTTAAATATAAAATGTTTTCATAGTTTTTAAAGTAATAAATAGATAGATGAATTCAGTAAACAATTAAAGTTGAATAAAATTTAAAATATTTTATTTTTGAATTTTTAGAGTTTAAAAATTGGAAGTATCAGAATTCTTGCAGGTAATTCTGGTAAATTTAAATTTTAACTTAGAATTCTTTAAATACGATCATCTCCTTGTTAATTGTGTTGTCATCGACGTGAAAAGGTCATTAATTAGAGAAAACATTATTGTTTCTCTTAAATGAAAGGACAAGTTTTTTATTTTAAGTTCCCTGGTACGTACAGTTTTAAAGAATACCAAATGTATGGAATTTACAAAAAAAAAATTAATTTTACATTAATTACACATGCATATGTAGATAAATTTTGCTAAAACAAAGGGAGATAAAAGAGTCGAGTGGAAATTTTTAGAAAGAATGTCTTAAGGTTGAAAAAATAAATTCGCTGTAAGTTTAGAATTTATTGTAATACTCGTAATTTTGAGGTAGAACATAGCAAAAATTTCAATTAACTTCAAAAAATTATTTTCAATTAATTTCAAAAATTATTTGAAATTTTTAAACTTGAAAAATTATTATTTTAATTTTACAATTATTTTTCTATGTTACTTATATACATATACATATATTAAATTATATGTATTTTTTGATTATGAATCAGTTTTGTTTATAACAACAAAATGAAAAATACAGAATAAAATTTTTAATTTTGTTTTCTCTTTTATCTTATGGTAATCTTAAATGGAAAATTTATAAAGGGTTAACTTTGAAAATTTTTATCCTTTATAAAAAAAATAACCATTCGTTTTATCCTTTTTTCAATGAGAGTTACAATGAGAACCTGCCATAATGTCGCGAATTATTAATTAGGAATTTGTTAATTTGACATTTACTTATATTCTAATAATTTATTAATGTTAATAAGAATTATTGAGTTCTTTGAAAGTTTTCTACAAAATTTTTTTTTTTCAAAAAGTTTCTGAAATTCTTAGCAATTGCATATTCAATAAAGGAGGTATAGGTACTGTGTTCACAAAAATTTTGTTATTGTGGTTTGTTGAAAGTAAAGGCATTAATAATTCAACTT